TGGCTTACTACATGTATGGTCCTGGTGTTCTTATAAGAGGGAACACGGGGAGTCATGGGGCAGGTGGGGGGGGGGTGTCTCTGGTCATCATGGAAAGCCATCACCACAGCATGACTGAGAGATGAAAAAGGCCTGAATGAGAGCAAAGGCTGTGGGAGGGGACTGGATGTGGAGGTGGGAGAGTGGGTCAGAATGGACCAGATTTCATCACTGAGGGGAGTGAGCGAGTCACTAGTGACCGTGAGTCTGACTTAGGTACCAGGCAGATGGGGATGTGTTTACTGTGCTGGGGACCCAGGAGGAGTTGGAGGTGATTTAGGGGAGAAAAGTGACTTCAGTTCAGTATCTTCTGACTTGGGGATGCCTGTGGGACATCCAAGGGAGGGCATCCCAATTGCTGCCTGACTTTCAGTTTTCTTTTGTTCTGCTTGCAAAATCAGAAAGAAGCAGCATCCTGTCAGGGGCTGTTGCTTTCCCTTTGGTCCCGCTGCTGGGTTTTCTCCAGCCCCTTGCCCTCAGGCAAGAGAGGAGCTGGCAGGGCGGTCTGCTGAGGGCTGCAGGGCAGGCTCTTAACACAGCAGGGCCCTTCAGATGTTTCGAAACTGACAATCCCAGGTCTACCACCTGCCAGCATTTGTTCACAGAGACACAGCATCACAAACTCTCCGGACTGGAAGGGACATTAGAGGTCATCCTTTCCAGCCTCGGGGTTGGCATTTTCAGACTGTTCTAATAATTTAAGTGTTCCTCCTCCTCTTAAAGCGGGTGACTTTCTTCTGACTTCCCCTTAATATGCTATTAAAGACATGGTCTGCCCATGGGCCTTCTTCCTCAGGAGGAGTGTGCTGGGGCTCATGTTTGTGGATCTAGCAGGGGGGGGACACAACAAGGCCAGATTGGGAACACAAATTCTTTTTGTCCTTTACACGACAGCTACGAGAATGGTCTCCATGGTTACAGCAGCTTTTCAGAGGTTTAGATTTTCATTTTCTCTATTTCCTTAAATGTCTAATTTATGAATTATTTGTTTAGGTAACCTACTGGAAAGTTTCTGTATGGATATGAAAGTCAAGAAATATATATAGTTAAAAAAACAAAATAAGTAGGCTGATAGGCATTTTGGGTACTTTTTTTTTCTCCTCCTAATAACAGAAATTAGGATTGACTTTAAAAATTTCAAGTTAAACAAGATTCAATGAAAGAAACACTGCCTTCATGTTCTTCAAAGGCATGTGAGCTAGAGAGGGGCTGGAGCTAACCTAATTATGTTTTCTTTAATGTGAAATAGCTATTTGCCTGACATTCCATTTGCACCTCACCATCATATTCAAATGGCTGGGACATTGATTTTTTTTTTCTTTTCCGAGAGCTCCCTTTGAACATGAAAGTGTTTTTCTCTGTTTCCTCCACCTCTGTGAGATCAGTGATAAGAACAGATCGATAATTACATTGTTGGATAAAAATGAATATAAATTTTATTGAAAAACAACACCAGCAACAATGTGGGGAAAGAGTACTCAACAGCTACTGGCCCCCCACAACTCAACACACACGTTATGAAAAGTAATCACCTCTTAAGATTTCCAGCTACTTATTCCAAATGAAAAGAAATGATAGACCCCAGGTAAACTGATGTGGGACACAGACGCACACTCCCCTTGAACACACTGCTAACAGCAAAGGACACAGCAACACCATTCACATTGTATTTGCTGAGGGCCATCTGGTGTATTTCAAGGATTCAGTGGTTTAGAGAGAATTTAGTCCTTCCAGTTAGCATGGCATCTAAAACCCAGACCACTGGGAAAACTTTTCAAGTCCTTTGAGAAGAGGATTTCACAAACTTTCTTGGCAACTTGTCCCTCCTGCTTCAAAACAGGAAACAGTTCTTTACGTCTAGCCTAAATCCTTCATGCTTCAGTTAATCTATTTATTTCCTTTTAATCTCAGCAGGCTGTGAGAAGTCTGTCTTGATGGGACAATGTAGCATATGGGGAACTCACAATGATCATAATCAGATTGAAACGGACTCCTGCTGTGCTACTGGCGCTTCCGAAACCAGCGAAAAGAAGGTAATTGCAGTTGTGGTGTCGCCCATTTGCCCCCCACTCTCTGACCTTCCCCAGCCTTCTATACCCTTCTGCCTGTGGCCCGAGGTCTGCCACTCTCGGACTTGCCAGCCAGACTGTGAGTTTGATCAGTTTCAGTCCTTCACTGGTGAAGTAAGGAGTGCGGTCAAAGCCTTCCCTTCTAGTCCCGTGTCCAGGGTTTCCATTTCAAGATGCGGTTTCCAGGCAAAACGCTCCCCAACATTATGTTCTGTGTCTCATCACCCTGCCAGGCAGTCCCCAAGCTCACCTCACAGCTTGTACGTAGCAAAGATGTGCTCCGTGTGCACACCAGGAAGCGCAGAGAAGCCACGAGAAAGCACCCAGTGGATTTAACACAAACATCTCAGCAGCATATTTCAGATTCTGCGTGAAAACCCTGGTGATAGACTCAGCCTCACGGAGGTTTGCTCGCCGGCAGCTCTATGCATTGGGCACCAGGGAGCGCCCGTGTCATTTCACCAGGTGCTGAGACCCCACCGCCAGGAGACAAAGATGGGGATTTGAATAAAAGACTTCAAAATGCAACCCCGAATTCTACCCTGAGCAGCATGTGTGTAAAAATTCATGAAGATCGGATTTCATTTCATGTATTTTTACTTCAGTGGAAAGAAATACAGGTGATTTTTTACTACACCTACAGCTGTCTTTACAAAGCGGGGCGCCTGGTTAATGCCGAGGGAGGGGCGCGTGGTTGTGCGGCAGACACTTTGAGAGGCTGGGCCTTGTCTTCATTCCTAGGACGCTCCTGTTTTGCTGGGTGGCAGTCTCTGCATGCTCCAGAAGGTATTAATTATATTATTTTATAAAAGATACATGCTGTTCTCATCAGAGCCAGCCATGGCCCTGGGTCCAGTGAGTGACAGAGTCACAGAAGGCACTTATTATTTTGACAAAACGCAGCACATTTCTTTCAGCCCATAAAATCAAAGGTGTGAAAAAAAGGCTGTTTTCAGGGTGTAAAAACTCCCCTTGTTTTCCTGTTGTAGTACATAGTGGTTCTGCCTCTGGAGCCTTTTGTGCATTTTCCAGGCATGAGTGATACAGTGCCAAATGCCTGGGTGGCAGAGCCTGCCAGAGGGTGCTGGACATAGGCCAGAGCAGAGCTCGGACCCCCATGGTGTACTCCCCTCATTTCCAGGATCCCCAGCCTGGTGGGGGATGGGCATCCCTGTAACGTTGCCCTGGGCCAGGTCCAAGCTGGGTGGCAGTGGGGATCTTTGGGGAGATGAGGGCCTGAAGTGTTGGGAGCCTGGAGCTTTAGACAGGCCTGTACAGCGGAGGCTGTTACTGCCCACCCTGAGCTCTGAGATGGCAGGGGCCCCTTGGTTCTGTCCATAACCCCAGCATCTAGCCCAGTGCCTGGTGCATATTAAGTGGCCCGTGAACATTTGCTGAATGCACGAACCTGCAGATGAAGTCACAAGCACCTGGCTGGCTCTGGCTGTGGCTTAGCCTGAGGACGTTTAGAAGGGTGGGGCGGGGCAAGTGCTGGCCAGTGCCAGCTCTCAGGGTCGGGGTGCTGGGTTAGGCAGGGGCCGCAGAGCTGAGAAGCCAGGAGGCAGGGAGCACCTGCAGGTTCTCTGCGAGCTGGGATGGTGTTGCAGTGACCACGCAGGGCCTCTCCATCCCTCCCTCTCCTGCTGCCCTTGCAGGAGCCAGCCTTTTGGTTGTTGCCATGGCAACACCGGCCTGAGGTGCTGCTGAGGGCCTGCGGGCAGCTGAGGCTCCCAGGGCCAAGCAAGCATGGAAGGCAGGATCCCAGGGGTCTCTCATGTCAGAGGAAGGAAGGAAGGGAGATGGGATATGGACGAGTACAGAAACTGCTCTCAGAGCAGGTGGAAGCGTCCCCCCGGCCCCCACCCCCAGCCTGGCTTTGCGGGTAGGGACCACTGGGGTCCAGCAGAGCCCTGTTTTTACAGGAGTTTGCTTGGCATGATGGTATTTGCACTAATTCCTGCCTGGCCTCCCTGCCCAGGTCTTTCTTTAGGGTTACCAACACGGCCCCCTCAAGGCTTTAGCAGCCTGTGGAGGCTTCCCATGAAAGCTGCATGTCAGGGCCCGAGGCCAGGCTCTTTGAGGGCCACCAACTAACTAGACTGAACTGACCCTCAGGTTCCTCTGACAGCACAGAGTAGGAGGTCTCTCACCCTCAGACTCAGGTCACAGGGCTGCCGTGGTGTCTGTCACCCTCTGGCCCTCTACCCAGGACACCCAAGAGTGGGCACTGGGAGTCCCCTTGTAATGTTCCTGTTGCCACATCACACGTATACACAGGGATTGTGGAGCCTCCAGCCAGTCATGGGCCGGCCAGCTCCCTCTTCACACCTTTTATCTAAGGCTCTTGAAGAGCAAGAGACAGCAGGAATGCCACAGATGGTCAGATCTGGGAAAAAATGGTAGTCCAACCCTCTCGGGGGCCCGGGAATTGGTGAGAAACACTGATGCCACCTGCAAGGGGCTCTGTGATTCAGAATGACTCAGGCTTGCAGATCAGGTCCCTCTTGGGCGCGGAGGAGAACTCTCTAAGCTTTCTGCCTGGGCAATGTCTCTACTTTCCCACATCAGCCCTATAAAAACAACAACAGCTTTAAAACAAGAAGGGGGTGTCTGGGCAGTGGTGTACAGTTTACAATACCTTGGATTTACATAGCACCTTTTTCTTCTAAAGGGCCTTTGCCTCAGTCCCCTCGGCCACTGCCGCCACCAGGTGCAGCCAAAGGAACAGAAACATCACAGCTCCCGAGGCCGAGTGGAGAGACTGAGGCAGAGGCCTAGAAGTGATTTCATGCAGACTCCATGGTGTCCAGGGCTCTCTGCACTTCCCGTCAGGCCCTCCTTGGGCAAGTCTGGCCGTGGCCCTCCGGGAGGGTGTGGCCAGGGCGCTGGCCCTCACTGGGCATTCACTTTGTATTTCAGGATGTAGGAGTAGAAGTTGTGGTTGGCGTTCTCCAGCACCATGACATAGACTTCCTGGCAGCCGGCCGTGTTGCAGCTGCCCTCCCAGTAGCCCTCTTGATTCAGGGTCAGGGGCCACGTGTCCTGCCCCTTCACCAGGGCTTTGGCGATACCATGTAGCTTCAATTTGAACGGGATATTCCGGTTGGCAGGAAGCACGCCCGACAGAGGCTCCAGCAGCTCATTGTCCTGCCCCCAGTTGCCAAAGCTCTCGGGGAACATGGGCCAGTTCACCTTGGTGTTGGTGCAGCAGAGGAGATAATTGAAGACAAAGACATAGTTGCCTGGTTCCAGCCTCTTCTTGACAAAGATCTTGAGGGCAAACTTGCCGGCCTGGGGCAACTGGACTTTCAGCTCTGCCCGCTTCTCCCGCTGCATCTGGAAGATGTAGCGCCGCTGTGTCTCCTCAGTGATGGGGCCTTCGTCCCCGTGCAGGGACGCCAGGACGCTGATGCCCTCCTCCACGCCGAAGCTGACGGAGCAGCGCCCGTCACTAGTGTGGATGATGGGGTCGGGGTGGGAGGGCTTCATGATGCCCATCTGCTCCGAGAACCAGCTGGGGCCCACAGGCTGGTGCAGCTCAGCTGGCAGCCGGACACTGATGTCCACGTAGCTGCACTTGAGCGTGTACTCCAGCACCGAGCTGTAGATGTCGGACTTGCCTTTGGCAAAGATCTGCAGCTTGTGGGTGCCCACTGTTGGAGGGTATATGTCCAGCTTCATCCCGTTTTTCCTGAGGCTCAGCAGCCCATGCTCCTGCTTGCCATTGAGCATGAACATGAAGAGCGTGGGGGCGCAGCTCTCAATGGTGATGGTGGCCTTCCCATTCACTGTGGAGAGAGAGCCAGGGTCAGGTGGGATGGGCCCAGTATGTGCTGATTTGCTGGTAATTGTTCAGAGAGAAATTGGAGAGAAATGCCCTGATTTCTAGCGCCTGCCCATTTCCATGGTGTAAATACTTTCGGCACGATGGCTCTTAAGCAATTAAAGTGATGTCACTGACCATGATGTGAGCCAGGTGTGGCACGCCACTGGAAGGGTCCCCCCATACTCCCAGCTGCAGGTCTCTTAGAGCTGAAAGCTGAGGGTCTGCAAAGAAAATCTGACCCAGCTGGATGTGCTTGCTCCACCCAAGTGATTCACATTAAATGAAGGTTGCATGGAGGCTTAGCCTGGTTCCGGACCAGGGGAGAGGGCCTGTGACTAGTTGGACACTCTTTGTCTCCTTCCAGTCTTAAATCTTGCTTCACACCGCCCCCTCCCGGCATCCGTTCTTTACAGTGTTAGCAGCTGTCAGGTGGACACAGGGCCTTAAAGCCTGGCTGGAATGGTCCACTGTTGGAGGCTGTGCTGAGGGGTGGGGCTGCCTCCTTGCTCTCCAAGCTCCCACCCAGGGCTCTCCAGTGGGTGTGTCTCAGTGTGTCTCTGGAAAGGTCAAAGGTGCAGGGGAGGGCCTTTTGCATCCACCTGCCTTCTGCCTCTTCCTGTGCCCTCCAGTTTTGTCTTCCTCTGTCCTGGTCACTGTTTTTCAGGGATGGGTGCTCAGTTCTCTGGTTTTATAGCCCACGAGCATTTCCCTACGTAGTTCTCCCTGCCTCACGGGACCACCAGGAGGGGCAGTGGCTTCTTTCAGAGCTTCGCCCACCTTCCTCCATCTGGAAACCTTTCCCTGCCTTCCACTGCTAACTTCTCCCCACTGCAGTTCCCCTCCACCCATGTTACTCTCTTCTGACCCTGTCCCTCGTCTCCAAAAACTTCAGTGACTTCCTTCTAGAGTCTGGGCTGCTGGCATGCCCTTCTGGAAGTGCTCCTCTCTCCTTGCACCCAACCATGCTCTCCAGCCTAGCCCTCTTCCCACCCCCTGACCACTGCCCCATCTCTGCTGCCATTCCTTCCCTTTCTGGTATATTAACTGTGGAGTGCTTTGTGCTTTGGTGCTATTTTCTTTGTCTACATTCTTTCTCTTAGTTGAATCTCCTCTCCCCTTGCTTCCTCTTAAGCCAACTCAGCGGGCAGAAGTTGTCTCAGCCTTCAACGGCTCATGGACCCAGGCTGCTCCATCTTGCACGAGAGTTGGCTGTGAGATCCTGTGGAATTCACCTCTGACATGGAGTGCTGCCCAGCACATGGCTGCCAGAGGGCCCCTACAAAAATATCTACCTGGCCACTCTTGGGCTCACTTGTGTGGGTTACCATCAAACTGGAGACCAGTGAGGGACCTGTCCCTCCTGCCTGGCCTGAGTCAGGACCCTCCTTTTCAGGACCACTGGGCATTCTCTCACATCCTCCTGGGCATACCCCCTCACATCTGGTAGCCCTCACAGTCTTCTTCCCTCCACTGCTCTCCTCCAAACCAGTAAGACCTTAGTATAATGTCTGACCGCAAAGAATGTAAAGAAGGCTTTTTCAAACCCTCAGGTGACTGTGAGGTTTCCTGGAAGCCTCTCTTGTAGTTCTGTGTCTCCCTCAGGAAACTTAGCACCATTGCAATGAATTAGTTCTCTGCAATGTCGGTCTTCCCTGCAGAGGTGAGGCTGTGGGGAACTGCACTCCTGCTTCCTTTCCTGCGTGTCCCAGGAAAGGACCATAGTGCTTGGCCTAGCGGATTCTAGGCAAAGGTGAGCCGAATGGCCGGAAGACTTGAAATAAGGACTGGTGACTCCAGGGACTCTGTAGTAGCCTGTGACCCACCCCTGCATCCCCTCTCCTTCCACCTCTCCTCACCCCTCAGTGGTATTCCTCCTCCTACATCCTGCATCCTCTTTGTTCCCTGCTTTTTGCCCATCTGTTTCCCTCTCCTGCTTTCTTCCCATCCCTACTCTTAACAAAACTAGCTCCAACAAAGAAATAGTCTTTAAATATGCATCATGAGTATGGAATCACATTTGAGATTGCTGTATATTAAGAAACCCAGTGTTTACAGTTCTGTGTCTCTTGCACAGGCAAGTTCTACTCCACGCTATTAATTTGATGTTGGTGTAGCCTGGTCCATTCTTCCCTGTGGCTCCATGGCCCACAGCAGACCGACCAGGCTCCTGCCTGATATGAGCATGGGAAATGCACTCACAAAGACAGCAACCTCCCGCTGTTACTGTAACAGCAGGAGCCTCCAGGTATTTGTAGTTTTAAAAAAGTAGCCGAGAGCTCAGCAGACTGGTTACGGCAACCACTGTGAGGTGGAAAGGACAAATCGGTTGGAAGGAGTGTGGGGATACCTGTGGCCCCTGCACCCCATCACTGTGCGGCGTGGGATGGGGCTCACCCGTAGACCCGTCCACAGACCTCTCTGTGCAACAGCCAGCGTGAGCTCAGGGCTTCCCAGGCCCCCTGGTAGCAGAGTTGGTGCTGGCCAGCAGTCCTTTGCTAAAATGTGTGTTGGGGTGGGGGGGATGGCAGGTGCATTGACTGGGTTGTGCTGGGCCTTGTAGTGTGTCTAGGTTATGTGCCTAGCCCCGGACCAGGCACCAGGGCCTTGAACATACAAAAGACAAAGTCCTCTGCAGTCAGCCCTGCGAGGCTTGTGACCACAGTTCTGTACCCCCTCTACCCCTGACACACAGCTGCCCCCCATAAACCCCAGAGTCCACAAACCCAGGCTGGATGTCTGAGGCCGCTGTGGGGATCTGGGGAGCAAAGGTCAGTCCAGGTCAGCCACGGGACAGCTCAGCCAGGTGTCCTGCATTGCCTACCACCAGGGATGTTGGCTGGAGAAGGCCGGCCTCTGCCTCCAGGAGGGAAGCAGGTACAGCCAAGGGGCGTTTGGGCTTGTGAGGGCAGGGCGCCTAGGAGGCCAGGCTGGGCCTCTGGAGCCAGCCCTAGCCTAGGTGTTGGAAGGCTCGCTGTGTCCTTCCAGAGCATGTCTGTCCCTGTGTACCGTGATGCCTGCTCCCTCCCAGCTCCCAACACCCAGCTCAGCAGCTGCTCCGCTCCAGTAACAAAGCTTCCCCCAGTTCTCGGTCCTGGGAGACCTCCAGGTCCCCCCCACTAGCTGGTTAGACCACTGACACACAGATCGCAGCTTGGCTGGGCCAACGCGTCCTCTGCCAGGAGGTTGGGAGAACAGAGCAGGCTAGTGAGCTTCTGTGAAGGACCTGAACTGGCAGATGGGTACAGCCAGGCCTGAGGCAGCCCCTTCCCTGCTGTGGGAACTGGGAGAGGCTCACCTAGCTGGGGACCCTCTAGCCCTGGCTCGCTGACAGGTGGGGCTGCGAGTGTGGCCCTCAGGGGCTAGGGAAACCCAAGGACTTCCTACACAAGGATGCAAAAGTGTGATCAGGCACTTGTCCCTGCAAATGTGACCTATGACTGCATCCTGCCTGATGGCCTTGGCTGCCTTAGTAGCACCTGCACATACATACAGCTTAGAGCAAGCTCATGGCCCCGGCAGGGCACTCCCCTGGGGCCCCAGATGCCTTGAGGGACAGAGCAGGCTGCTCTGTCTGCGCCGCGCCCCACTGGCCACCCGCTCTGGGCATACCTGTTTTGATCACCGGAGTCTCCGGGTGGGCGCTCAGCATCCCTTTGTTGTAGAACTCACTCTTGTGGTACATGTTGTTCTCAAACTGTTTCAGGGACTGAGGAGGTTTGAGCAGTTGCCAGTTCTTGTTGTCTGGGAAATGGTCCTCGATGAACAGCGCGGGATGGGTGAGGAAGTAGAATTCATTGTAGCTAGAGGTGGGGGGAGGGGAAGCTGATCAGTAGCCATGTGGGGTGACAGGCCTCAGCTCTGTGGGGGAGGCGAGGGCTCGTAGGGGCATCTCCGGGGCCTTCTTTGGCCTAGCACATCCGCAGCAGGGGTCCTGCCAACAACCGGCTGGAAGGGCCACTGTCTTCAATCTTCACATGGGCCCTACAGATGCTGCTTCCAGAAATAGGAGCCAGGGCAGGAGCTGAGGCCCCTTTTAAGAGTAGGCCATGGTCCACTGAGGCTGTCTCGGTGGGGAATGGGCTCCTGCTACTCTCAAAGCCAAATGGAGATTTGAGGGAGCAGAGGCATAACCCATGGACCAGGTGCCAGCTAATGGGGTGGAGGGCAGGCAGGCAGGGAAAGTCTCAGGTGGGCAGCTCCCATGGTCCCTGGGGCCAATGAGACATGGCTTTCTAGAGGTTAGTGATGGGGATAAAGAGAAGAACTTGGAGATTCATGTGAGATGGGGATGCTTCACTCTTAGCTTGTATTTGGTCTGTGTGCAGAACTGTATAGACTTAATACTGCAAAAATCAGAGAACATACTCTCATTTTTCTGGATAAGAAGGAATCTGAGCTGCCGAGAGAGGTTATGACCAGGATGAATGTCATGGCCTCAGGTTAAGACCATAGTTGGCCAAAGCCTTGGAGAATAGACATGCTCTGGCACGCTGCACCCTGCCCCCCTGCCCCACCATGTCTCACGGTGACTCTGTGCACCCACAGCACCCCTTCCCACAAGCCGTAAGCGCTTCTGCAGAGGTGTGATGTGGCTGCATTCAGTCCAGGAGGAACTCTGGTGTTTGGGAGAAGCAGATGCCAGGGAGGGAATTCTGGCAGTCCAGTGAGAGCTGTAATACAGTCAATGGGCCAAAGGCCTGAAGGGAATCTACAGACGGTTAAAGACGCTTCGCAGCCCTGCCTTACCTCTCCCATATGGCCTATGGGCAAATGCTGGGCTTTTAAAACCTGGGTGGAGGGTGCAATGGGGAGCCAGAGGAGGGATTTTCATCAGCAGAGGGTGAGGAGATAGAAAGGTCTGGGCCCTTACCCTTGGTTTGGAGCTGGCTCATCTCAGAGCTGGAGAAAGGGTAGGAGTGGCCAGCGGCGAGCAGAGCCCACCCCCCACCCCGGCTTGTCCACCTGCTGCTTCAAACTTGTGCCTCCCCCATGTCCACCCAGCAGGCAGCCAGCAGGGATGAGATTTATACTTACAGGAAGGTGAACTTGGAGGTGGCAGAGTCCACCAGGCCACTGCCCCAGGTGCTGTCCAGCAGGTGCCATCTCCCCTCTAAGAACACGGCATTCCAGGCGTGGTCAAACTCCCCGGAGAAGCTCTGCCCTGTCTGGTAGCCAAAGCCCTTGGAGTAGCCAGGCACAGTCATGCACTGCACTCCAGCGATCCTGAGGGGGGGACAGGGGATCTGAGAGGGGGGCTCCTGCCAGCGCTGTGCCTCCCCTGCAAGTCTGTCTGTCTGCAGCCCCAGGCTTCAGACATGTCTGCTGTCCCTCAGCCCCTCCCTGTCTTTCCTTTTCCCTGTCTTTCACACAGTCACATACAGACTCTCAGGGTAACGGGGAAAATGGCTCCACATTCATTATAGGAATGGGAAATTTTCCCTCTAAAAATATATGCTTAATTAACAATTAGAATATTGGGGGCACCTAGGTGGTTCAGCCGTTTAAGCGTCTGACTCTTGGTTTTGGCTCAGGTCATGATCCCGGGGTCTGTGAGTTCAAGCCCTGTATCAGGCTCCACGCTGACAGTGGGGAGCCTGCTTGGGATTCTCTCTCTCTGTCTCTCTGCCCCTGCCCTGCTCATGCTCTTTCTCTCTCTCTCAAAAAAACCCTCCCTCATCAGAATATTGGATGAAATATTATTTGTCTAAATATTACTTCTCGTGTGTTGAGAGAGTCAGTGAAGCGAAAGGGGGAGCCTGAGCTTTTGCACCTTCCACCTCGCCAAGGTGCTGCTTCCCTGCACGTGACATCGTGCTGCTCGCACGTCTGCCTGAGCTGCTGTCCTCTGCAGGGTGCAGGCCTGCCCTTCTGCCTGGGCCTCACAGAGGCAGGTCCAGGCTTCCTGGGCTAAGAAATGTCACAAGAGCAGAGCAGAGAGGCCCTTTGGGAAGGGTTTCAGGAGCACTTGGGGAAGGGGGCAGGGAGCAAGAGGGACTGGATCCTGATATCAGGAGGCAGAATTGGGTGGCGGGATGGGCAGTCGCTGGGCCGAGCCAGGGGATCAGGGCTCCATCTCAGCTGTACGGTCGCCTCCAGTGACCTTGCCAGGCCCATCATGGGCAAGAAGAAAGGTTGGCATGAAATGATCTCTAGGGGCTAATTCTCCTGTGACAGGCTGAACGGAAGTTGGGAAGGCCATGGGGAATGCCAGGGGCAGAACAAAGATTAAAAAAATAAAGTCAGCTATAAGCTTATGCCATGCTCGACTATGATAGCAGGTCATTTTATTACCTGGCAGCAATGTGCAAAATGAATTGGACAAAGAAGTCATAATGCAATGCATTACTGTTAATAATCCATAGATCTCATGCAAAATAGTGCAACTAGTAATTGCAGCTGCTGGGTGCTAGTCAGGAAGACCCACTACCATTTCACGTTACCAAAAGATCACTATGTGTACCCTATGTGAAAAGCACTGTACCAGGCACCAGGGAATAATACCCTATATCATATCCTCCATCATAACATAATAAATACTGTAATATTTATGGAAAAGTCAAGTCGCTGGCTGCCCTAGATACGCTCATAGTTCCAAGAGGAGCAGATATGTGAACCATCACTAAAATGCCAGTGGTAAACACAGCCCTTTGAGGGGACCCAAAGGAAGAGGAATTCGCTGGAAAGATCGAGAAGAGCATTGAAGAAGGGACAAAAGATGAGAAATGTTTCCACCTTCTACTGAGATCTGCTCAGCCATCTTAGAGCCTAAAATAGCATCCCATGATGTCTGCCTCATAACCTCAGGCTGCAGAATCTTGTTTTTTACTTTTGACAGTTTTTAAAACACCAGCACCAGTGGTATCCATTGAGGATGTGGTGGAACCAGGCCGTGACTGTCGTTTTATACAGATGTGGTCCGGGTCCTGCTGTGGCAGCCGTGTAGCGCTGTGTTAGCCACACCACTGCCAGACCCGCAGCAGGGTGGCCATCCTGCCTGGGGCGGGCAGTGTGCCCTGCGGGCACCGCGCTCTGACCATAGCAGATTCCCCCAACTCTGATCACCTCTCCAGGGTGTGTGAACCACATGGAAAATTATGGAAGAAGGGATATAGCCAAGGGAGAGGAAAGGAAGCTTGCTTTCTTTTTTGTATCTTGATGAAAATATCATGATTTTTAATGTTAACTTTTAATTGGAAATGTAGTTTCCCTAACCTTAAGCCTAAAGGTCACTTTAGGTGGGCAAGCATCTGTGAATTAGAAGTTTTAAGGCCTTGCTGTCCCTGAAACATTGGTCCTCAAGAAAGTTAATATCGATGCAGTCAAGGTAGATTCTAAACTGGCAAAAAAAAAAAAAAGTTTGTGATTTCTTTCCTAGCAGCAGGACAAGCAGCAGGACAAGCACCATGGCTTATATTTCACAGTTTATACAGTTGATTTCTTGTAAATTCAACAGTGTCTATAATCTGCTATATGGTCCCCTTTGCCTTTTCTTACACCAGCCTTTATGGTGAGATCAGTAACTATAACCACGGTTATAATTTCACTCTGAGGCCCTGCGTAGGGCCTTGTGGAGAGTGATCTCTGGGCCTTCTCTCTGACAAGTGAGGTGTCAGCAGAACAGAGAGGGAGGCTGGCTTGCCTGGGGACGCTCAGTCAACCAGTGGCGGGAGCCGCACCAGGACTCAGTTGTCCTGCTGCACACAGTTCCGGAAGCTTTGTATTGCCCCAGCCTTTTTGATTGTCAAGGTTTGCTTTAACTGATTGTCAAGGTTTGTTTTAATTTATAAATGTATGGTTGGCACACCGAGCAAAATTAAAGGATGGCTCCTTCTGGCGATGTCATTCATGCCTGCGAGTGTTATCCTTCGGTGTATCTATAAGGTTCGGGGATTCAGATGTCCCTTTCAGAGGCTTTATATGACAAAGTCAGATCTGGGAATAACTTAAGGTTATGCAGGGTATCTGCCTCTCCTAGGAGGCTGAGATGGTCACTCCCAGCCTTTTGGGACCTTCGGAACCAAGGGATGTGCTGGGATCGTCTGGGACATCGTGCTGAGCAGAAGCAGGCCTCTGCTCTTACTCTCAGGGACAGCAGGAGGGTGGATGTAAAACAGGCTGACATCTGATTGGTGACAACGAGTCTCCTCAATACCCAAGCCTCAACCTGTAACAAGCTCCCGGCTTTACCAAAAGTCTCTGGAAAATCTGCTAGCTCGTGGTGCTAGAGCCATGATAACAGGGAGAGGGGCTGTGCCGGAGGCTGACTTGGTGGCAGGAATCTGGGAAATTGAGCTTGGCCCCTGCAAGGAAGTTAAGCAGAATTCAGGAAGGCTGTGGGAATTGAGGCAGAAGAAAGGATATTAATGCTGGATGATGGGAAGTCAGAAAGGAACCAGACCAGCAGTTACAGGCAATAGCACTAACAACAAACAAAACTCACATTGGTTAAGAAAGACGGTGAAGAAGGGAAGGATGCTGCAAAAATATCTGAGTTCCCCACCAAATTACTTTATTAAATCAGTCTTTAATGAGGCCGTTGCAGGGAGGCAGAATGGACTGGCAGGAGTGATGATGGCCGTGTGGGTACTACTCTTCCTAAGAGGCCACCCTGACAACAAAGCCGGGATAAATCAGTAAGTGTGGATTACATGTCTTCTGTTATTAAGGACTCCGCTAATGAATTTACCAAACCTTCAGCAATTATTTGGAAGGTCAGGGAATTAGGAAAGTGATGCATGGCCGAGGTTACTGATCTTTAAAGCAGAAGTTAAAGGGACCCAGGGAACCATGAGCTACTGCTAAATGTCTGAGCAATGTGCAGGGTTTCTCACATGCTAACTGCCAGGCTGGAACTTAGCTTTAAATGATGCAAAATGTTGCGATGTGTTTTAATGAGCAGCTGCAGGCCAGAATAGGGCCATTGTTAAGCACCTGGACCAGGCCAAAAAGCTGACAGGTTCACTCAAGGCAAGTGTCAATTTTCTGAGTCTACGTGTGTCTGTAGGAAAGTTCCATAGAGCCACAACACTCCCGTACTCAAGAAAGACAGGCAAGGTTGAAATAAACAACCCCTAAGTCAGGGGAGCAAACTCCACACTGCATGTTCTCACTTAGCTCTGTAGAACTACCAGTAGACAATACGGTCCCCATGTACAGATGGGAAAATCGAGGCTCTGAAGGGTTCAGTGGCTTTCCAAAAAGCACCGAACTAACAAGTGGTAAATCAAGGAGTGGAAATTAAGGACTGGTGAACTGAGGACTGCAAAAGTCTTTCTGGCTTTAAATCTGGCACCCTTTCTATACCATGCTGGGAAGCTCATACTGGATAAAGAAGGATATATTATATGATTTAAAAATCCTGAGTGATTTCAAGTTTGCAAACGAACACAAAAATTTCACTCTGAAAGATGCCAGGCACAAATAGAGCTGAAAACAGTCTCAGGGTTATTCCATTATTTAAAAAGAGAATAAGGCGCATTTCACGCAACTTATACTAGGAATATCTTGTCATTTCCTGTGATTGAGGACCTACAGTGTGAAGGATTCTGAGTGCGTGTTGCATAAGGGGAGCAGGAACAGAGAGACAGGTCAGCTAAAGACACATCAAAGATGTATTAGACCTATAAGACATATAAGAAAGGATGAACCCAGGTTACACATCTGTGCTAGAACAAAGGCTGGAAGGGAATGTGACAGAATGTGAAGTGTTGTCTCTAAGTGGTCAGAGTAACTTAATTTTCTTCTTTTTCCTTCTGTGCATTTTATAAATTATCTATCAACAAGTATTTTTTTTAATTTGGAAAAATTATTAAATGAAAGCATAAGGCAAGACTGGAGCTTGTGTATAAGGTATGCTGACGACTTCAAGGGAGGGAAAAGGAGGGGGCCGTCCTGGAAGGAGCATGAGAGACAGGGGAGCAGAGTGAGCTTGAGGACACAGAAGTGCAGGCAGTGTCACAGGTGCAGGGCTGGAAAGGTGCAGGGGGTCAGATGTGGGGAGACTTTACAGGAAGGCGTGAGCCAGAAGTCCTGTTCAGGAAGCCAGGGCCTAGGGAGTCTGGGCAGAGGGCCAGTGAGGGTCCCGGCTCCTGGAGGGCCTCTCTGGCATGTTGGGGTGTCCGGGCCTGGAGTGGGGACAGGAATGTGAGGGGTAGGAAGGACCGGTTCGGCGGACTGGTTGGGCTGCAGAGGGGCTGGCATTCTCTGCCCCCGGACCTGCCCTGGCTATCTCTGGGACTGTGGTCTCAGGGGTGAGGCTGGGAGGCGGGGGGAGTGAAGAGTGGGGAGCAGGTAGGAGGCTGGAGTGACACGGGGGCAGGCACACGCCTGTGCCTGGTGGTGGTGGTGCAGGTTGGGAACCGGGCAGCTGGGCGCCAGTCTGGGAATGGGCTGCGTGTGCAGCACGGACAGCACAACTGATCTGTCCACCTGTGGACTCTGAAGTATCTGTTGCTGCACTTGGGTTGGTGAATTGCCACCTGAGTCCTGGTGGGCTGACATCTGGGTGCCTAAGGAGCCCCACTCCCAGAGGCCTGCAGAGACGGTGGGCAGAGCCTGGCCATCTCCCTGGGGAGGAGGCCAGCGCTGACTGATTGTGTCCGGGGAACACCGCAGACCTCAGAGAGTGGATACAGGAAGCTGTGGGGCCGGCGGGCCCCCCAGCCTGGAGTCTGTCTCGAGGTCGCCTAGAGGCAGCAATGGTGTCTCCAAACACAAGCGGTTTCCTTACCAGCTGCTCGCCTGCCGTCACCCACCATGTGGCCAGGCGCACGTTCCCAGAGCAATGGAAATGGAGCCCAAAGCCTCCAAGAGAAAAGCTGCTTCCTAGTTATTCAGCTTCTCCAACTGACACATCTTTTCAGGTAGGAGATCTTTTGTTTCCCCCGAGAGAGGCCCCCGTGCCAGCCCCGAGGACAGCTTTCACAGTCCCCTTGGCGTCAGCAGCCATTGTCCTGTTCCGGGACCTGCCATTCTTCTAACCTTCAGCTGCACAGAGATCGGAGAAGGTGGGAAAAGGGCCTTTTATAACCAAATTATCTCTGTGCATTCATCTGCCATTATGTTAATGCATCGCGAAGCCTGGCAGATGGTACAAAGTCAATTATGCTGGTGTTAAAAAGGGAGAAATTGACCTTTTCAGGACTCACTTGGATTCCAGAGCAGTTTGCAAACTCAGGTTTCAGGTCTGGCATGTGGGTGAAGGCACTCGGTGCATCGGAAGGGGGAGAAGGGATGGGTGAGGGTGGTCAGTCGGGGCTGCCTTCCCTTTGCCGGACCCCTCTTGTACCTGCACATCTTCTCAAAGAGTCCAGCGTAGCCATCACAGTTGGTCTTCTGGGTCCGTAGGATGTCTGTGGGCTTGAAGGCCTGGCGGTCCTTCTCCTGGGCAGCCTCGATGTCATACTCTGGAGGGCGGAGGAGGCTGTGAGAAACATGTCCTGGGAGGCAACCAAGGTTGGTGCAGAAGAGAAAGGGGAGGGGGGGTCCATGGCCTGCTGCACCACCCCCACCCTCGGCTGTGCTTTCAGCACCATTTGGGCGGGTCTCCCTCCTGTTGGGGAGAAACCGCTGTGGGCTGAAGGGAACCCAAGGCCATCCAGGGCCACTGTCAGCAATGTCACTGTGGAGAGAAATGTGCAGTGGCAAGAGGAAGAGCAAGGCATTGGCAGAAGAGACTGCCTGGCTCCTTAGGACTCTGAGGAGAGGCTGGGAGGGAAGGGGACCAAGACAGCACTGGAGTTGGGAACTCTGCCCTCCCCTTCCCACTCCCCCCCTCTTCCCCCGGCCCCCCATGCAGGTCTGCAAGCAGTTTATCCCTGTTGTGGCCACCACCCTCTAGGCCTCATGGTGACCCATAGGGGGCGCTCTGAGCTGCCGCTAAACAGCCTGTCATTCACTACCAGCCAGAGGCCAGCGGTGAGGCCCTGAGGCAGGAATCACTGTGGCCACTAAGGGCACAAAGGGAACATGTGTGAGGGTGGCAGGCAGTAAGTGAAGTCCTACCTAATGTTCTGTTTCTGACCCTGCCCTCTCAAGGCTCAGGCTGCACGGAGCTGCTGGGCTTGGGGTGGGAGGAAATGGCTTCACAGGCCCTACTGTCAGATTCTACCCTCTCTGTGTGTCAGGTGCATCCCTCCCTGCTGCTCTGGGAGGACAAAGGAAAGGCTCAGTGGCAGCAGATCAGGAGAGCCCCACTTGTTATGTCACAGGGAAAACACTGGAAGTCCACCCCCCACCTGGCTCTTCCACTGACTGCAAGGGGCAGCCGTCCAGCATCCCCCTGGAAACCACTGTGGGGCTTGGCTTGAGTTTGTCAGACCCCAACGCTATCCTGTGCAGAGCTGGGGACAGCTGCACAGGCCCTGAGCTTGTTCTGAGTGACTGCAGGCGGGGTGAAGACTGGTGGCTGAGGGCACCAGTGTGAGATCAGTGAGCTGGGAGAGGAGAGCCCACTCTTCCCAGCACTGGTACTTGAAGAAACCTCTGGTGTGGCAGTAACTTTCCTACAGCTATGATTCTGGGCTGTCCTTTTTGGAGGTGACCTTCTGTCCTCGGTTCTCAGGTCTGTGGAGCAGGTCTACCAGGACGCCAGGATCAAGGGAATACTGCCGCTGGGTGAAGGCGCCTTAGTTCTGGTCACCCGTTGCGTTGGCAGATGGCCACGTGGGATCCCCTGCCCAACAACCCTTCATGGAGACTGTTAGCACATGGAGACTGAAGCACCTCCTTCGTAAGTCTTTGGTGATTCAACCTAGCCACCTGGGAACCCTTTTCCTCCACTGTCCATCTTTCTCCATACACTCTGGTGGTCAAGTGAATTCCAGAGAGGTGCCCCTGGGAATAGGGTCCTGTGGGGAGTGGCATCAAGGGAATCCTAGAGCCAAAGGCACCACAGGTGGGCCTACCTATGTGGTGGCAGATCCAGATCCAGATCACGCGGACCCTCTCCAGGTCACTGTGGGCCTCCTGGAGCAGGTCGCTCACCAGCTCGTCCAGGCCACTCTTGACCGTCACCTGGGGAGTGGGAGGGTCGTCCTATGTCATATGTCAAAGCCTAGATGAGGGCTGTGGGAGCCCAGTTCCCTGGCACCTGAAGCTGGTGCTGCTTTTCTTCCAGGCTGAGAAGGAGGAGGAGAGGGCCAGAGGCACAAAGGCTAGGCTGAGGGCAACCCCTACTGGGGGGCTGGACATGTCAGGTAGGGCTGACCAGTTGAATCACTGCCCCTACAGCCACACATCTTTTCACTGCAGACCCTGAAACCAGTCAGGTGGGTGGAAATCTGGGCAGCTGAAGCAGCCCCTATCCATGGTCAATGCTATCCAAAGCAATCTACAGACTTAACACAATCCTTATAAAACTCCAAAGGCCTTTTTTGCAGAAATGGAAAAGCCCATCCTCAAATTCATTGCAAGGGGCCCAGAACAGTCAAAACAATTTTGAAAAAAGAACAAAGTTGGAGGACTCATATTTCTGGATTTCAAAACTTACTACAAAACTACAGTAATCAAAATGGTGTGGTACTGACATAAGGATCATATTGGCCAATGGCATAGAATTGAGAGTCTAGAAATTAACTCACACACCTCTGGCTAACTGACTTTTCTGACAAGGATGCCAAGTCCATTCAGTTGTGGAAAGAATAGTCTCCTTAACAAATGGTGCTGGACAAGTGGATATCCACATACAAAAGAATGAAGTTGGCTCCCTACTCCATACCATATATAAAAGTTAACTCAAAAAAAGAGCAATGACTTAAAAGAACTTAAATGTTGAAACTCTTAGAAGTAAACACAGGAGTAAGTCATCATGACCTTGGATTTGGCAACAAATTCTTACTGAAGACACAAGGTACGAAAGAAAACATAGATTAATTGGAATTCATAACAATAAAAATCTTCTGGGCATCAAAGGACATAATTAAGACAGTGAAAAGACAACTTACAGAATGGGAAGAAATACTCACAAACCATGCATCTGATAAGGGTGTAGTATCCAGAATATGTAAAGAACTCCCACAACTCAAAAACAAAAAGCCCAATTTTAAAATGGGTAGACTTGAATATACACTTCTCCAAAGATACATAAGCAGCCAATGAAAAGCTGCTCCACATCATTAGTCACCAGGGAAATGCAGATCACAGCCACAAAACACCACTTCACACCCATGAGGATGGCTGTTGGCATCAAAAAGATCACAAGGATGTGGAGAAATTAGAACCCTTGTGCATGGCTCATGGGAATGTACAACAGTGCAGCCACTGTGGAGAACAGTTTGGGGGTTCCTCAAAAAGCTAAACAGAGTTATCATATGATCCAGGAATTCCACTCTGAGGTATATACCCTGAAGAACTGAAGACAGAAACTCAACCAGATACTTGTTCACCTCTGTTCATGACAGTGTTATTCACGATAGACAAAAGGTAGACAACCCAGTGTCCATCACAGATGAATGGGTAAACACATGTATCTATCTGTGCCAAGAAATATTATTCATCCATCAACAGCAATGGAGTCCTGACACATGCTACAAGGTGGATGAACCTTGAAAACATGATGCTGGGTAAGCCAGACACAGCATGACACATACGTATGATTCTACTTAAATGGAATAGCGACAGTAAAAAAGTTCATGGAGACAGTAAGTGATTCAGAGGTTACCAGGGAGAATGGGGAGGGATTGCTTCATGGGTACGGACTATTTGCTTGGGGTGATTTTGGAAACAGGTAGTGGTAATAGTTGTACAATACTGTGATGCAATCAATGCCCCTGTGTTGTACACTTAAGAATGATTAAAAGGGCAAATTTTTTGTTATATTACCACAATTGAAAAAAAAAGAACAAATGAGGCCAAGGTTTAGAGTTGTGGGAAAGGCGGCCCTAACCATGTTCAATCGTTCTTGAGAAGCTGGAACAATCCTGTGCTTAATCCTGTGGGATAGCGCCCACACCTCCACTAGCCCCCCTCCTAAGCTCTCTGAGCTCCTGAATTCTTTCTGCCACTCACATCAGAACCCCAGGATCCACTGTCTGACCCTGTGACTTCTGGTTCTTTGGTCCCCACCTCCTGGCTCTACCTGGGTCCGGCTGGCTCTGGACACTCACTGCTCCGTGGCTGGGTCTCTGGCCTCAGTGGGGTTCCTGGCACTGCTGTCCAAGCTGGACCAGCAACCTGTCCCATCCCTTCTGGTGGCCATTACAACACAGCCCACCCTCCTCAGACCTTGGCATGCACCTCCTTCTCTCCCTCTCAGAGACAACCTGGCCTCAGACTCAACAAGGCCCCGGCAGGACTTCTCCTTAGTGAGCCCTCCCTCCTGCTCAGCCAGCCTCTCTGTAAGCCTTTGATCCACGTTTCTTGTCTCTGCAGGGCTTGATCTTCCTCAGGGTGTCCCTGCCCATCTGTGTCCTCACCTCTTCCCTTCCAGTCATGGCTGCCCTATCCCCTCCTGTCTGCACCCCTCCCCAAATCTCTTTCTCAGGACTGCCTACATCTAGCCCTCCCCTCTTTGCCAGGCTCCTGTGGGTTCCTCACTCCCTCCTCTTTCACCCCCACTTTGTTCCTCAGCCTGCCGGAGTCTGGCTGAGGCTCCACACCTCCTCTGAACTGTTCCTCTGGGAGTAGGAAGCACTTCAGTGCTGAAGTCACGAAACCTCACTTCACCAGACTGAATGGCTCATGCTATTGACCATTCCTGCCCTCAGGGAGCTCTGCCTGCACTTTCCAGAACATTGATCCTTCCTGATCTTGCCCTGGCCTGAGGTGGCTCTGGGTCCTTTGGACCTCCTGCCCTGTCCTCCCCAGGATGACACCCACCCTGTGGCTTCACTCTTAGTCAAATCTGATGGTTCCTGAATCGGGGTTTCTGGCCCAGAGCTCTCCAGTTGGACACAGCTCCAAGCTTGGACGCCCAGCCACTTCCACTGGCTGTCCCGCAGATACTGGAGCCTGCTGTCCCTAAACAAACTCATTGTCCCCTGAGACCTGCTTCTTGTAGTGAGAAGCTGTCCCACTCTCCCTCCATCATCCAGTCCACAGCCTGTGAGCCCCCTGCCTTCTCCCTCCCTCGCACACTTCCACTCCCTCGTACACACTGGGTTAGAGTCCTCCTTCTGTCTCCAGTTCAGTGTTGACCTTTCCACTCCTCTCTGTTTTCAGTGTTCCTTCTTCATCCGGGCCATGCCTGCTCCTGCTGGGACAGCTCATGGCTCCCCACTGATGGCCCTGCCTCTGATCTGACTCTGGATCCATGCCGCTATCCATCCACTCATCAGTTAGTAAACAAGGTTCCTGAGTACCTACTATGTGCCAGCCACAGGGTGGTCTTTTTAGGCCGTAGATGATTTCCATGCTTATTGGCCTATGATGGCTGACCCTGACTTCAGCAGTGGGTCCAGCTCCTTGGCCCTTCCAATCAGCAAGTGCCCTGCTCCCAGGACCCTAGTGGGTCTCTAGTGCTTCCACTTTTGTAGCTGCCCCTCCCTGACCCCACCCCAGAAGAGCCTAGACAGAGATGTGTGAGAGCTTGGCAGCCCGTGTGCTCCAGGGCTGAGCAAGGCCGTGGTCGCGCTGGGTGCTGGCCAGCTGCTTCCATGACCCTCCCTCATCCTCTTACCCCCTTTCTTCATGGGCCAGGCATGGCCTGGCTCAGCAGCAGCAAAGCTCAAATGGGCACTGGCAGGCGGTCAGGACAGGGCTGTCCAGAGAGGCCTGCCAGAGGGGCCAGCGTATGCAGCTGAGGCGGGAGCATCAGGACCGTGGGTGGCATTGTGGGGGATGGCATGGTCTTCTGTCCTGGGCAAGCTCCAAGCCACCTTATGCAGAGGGGCTTGTTGTCTTACCTGTGAGGCGTACGTGTCCAGTTTCTCAAACTGCCGCAGGTCCAGGGGCATGGATTTCAGGCTGGACCGATCCCAGGGGTAAGCTGGAAACACAGGGAGGCTCAGTCAGCCGCCAAGGCCTGCGGACAAGCGCTGCGTGGCCCAGGGCTCTCTGTCTTTTTGAGGAGCTGTGACTGCCTGACCTTCAACATGATTCCCAGAACCTGAAAAACTGCTCCCAAGAGCTGTAGCTCCTAGAAGGGTTCCTTGGTGAAATTGGCTTGTGGCAACTTCTCTAGTTCGTCTGGAGACTCATGGGGAATATAAGCCTATTTGCAGACGTCGGGAAGTCAGCAGTAGAGAGACTGGTTTCACCTCAATTAACTCAGCAGTGCCCAGGCAGATTAACGGTGGAGTCCCCTTCTCCCCGCCGTTCAGTTTTCTGCAGATTTCCCGCTAACTTTTCCAGAAAAGCAGGCTCTATGGGAAGTATGCCAGCCCTGATGGGCTCAAGAAAAGAGCTATGATGCCCAGGGTGGAGGGCACCCTGGGTATGGGAGGGGGTGTGCTGGAGCCAGGCTCTGGAGGCTTCTGTGGGGGGAGGCGTGTTTGGCACCCAGACAGGCTTCCTCCCTTGCCCACGGTCAGCCAGAGACTGGAGCACCCCGAGGGAGCCAAGTGTGTTGTAGCAACGGGTGCCCCAGGTGCTGTGGGGAGGCGTCTCAGGGAAGCTGGGCCCCAGAATCACTCCTCTGTGCCAGCCTCTCTTATAGGAAACTGGGCACACCCTCCATCAGACCAGCCACAGATGGGCAGTAAACCCCTGTCTCAGCCCAAAAGAGAGCCTGGGCTCTGGTAAGGTCCTCCTTCTTCAAGGTTCCATTATTCAAGGCTGACCAAGTCAGGCAAGGTGGGTGGGAGGCCAGGGGTTAGGTGAGGAGGGTGGGGCCAAAGGGCACTGATCCCCTAACTCACTGATAACCCCATTCCCCTGTGGGGGTGCTGGTGGGGCCCCAGGGCATGGCAGCCAGCCTGGAAAGAGCAGAGTGAAGCAGGGGGAAGCATGGTGGGGGCTGCCTGAAGCCTAGGTTCTAGTGGGGGCCTGACCTTCACAACCCCCACCTGGCTAGGGGTGGCTGAACCCAGCCACCAGGTGTTAGGCACACATCTCTGGGGCACCTGGGAGAGTGAATGAGATGGTGGATCGTGTTGTAAAGATCATGTTGTAAGGCTGCTCCCTGGGAGGGTGTAGTAGGGTGGGGGTCCTCTGTGGGCAAGGGTAGAGGTAGAGAGCCTCTGTGCCTGGTGTGGGGGCTGCAGCTGCGTTAGCCCATATATCCCTTGAGGTCTGTGAGGGAACCAGGCCTTGGTGCTACAGACCCAAGAGATGTGGTGAAAGAGTGAGTAGGGAGGGGGCGGCCCACCAGTTCTGGCCCGAGCTCCCGTAAGACCCTCTCTGGGCCAGCATTGGCTGAAACGCAGTGGCAGCTGGTTGGGGAGCTGGCCAAGTTCCTGCCACAGAGGAGCTCCCAGCCTCGAGTCAGCTGTCAGGAGCAGGCCATGTGGGCCCTTCTGCATTTCCCCACCACTCCAACATCCCCTTCCTTTTGACAACCAGGCCTTCTTTCTTCGCAACCCAACTGGGCCTAGCACATTCCCCAGGGCCACTTTGTTGTGCTTTCTTGCTTCCTGCTGCCACTCTGCAACAGTCCCTAGAGGGGTTTGGTCCCTTTGACCCCAAGCCTCTGACTGGGCCCTTACCCTGTCACATGCTATGACACATCCAGGACCCAAGGACTGTTCCTGTCCCAAGAGGAGGCAGAGCATGTGGTGGGCAGGCAGGCTATGTAAACCCTACCCTGACGCTGTGGTGTCACCACCAACCTAGCACTTTCTTTGTTCATTTTTCTACTTCTTCTATAAGGACCAGGATATCCTGGACCCTCCACAATCCGTCTGTCCTATAGAGTCTTACACTGGGGCTCTCTGGAAGCCCAGCACCATTGTGGCTCATTGCTGGTGCTGGGATCTCTTGTCTCTCATCACTCAGATCCCTGTCAGTCCCTGTCCTGTCTGAGCACAGCCCTTGCCCAGCCAGCCCCTGAGAAGGGAGGGGGTACCCGCAGCAGGTTCTCAGTACCTTCTCCCTCCAAGGAATCTGGCTCCTGCCATTCTCTGACAAGGGCTAGCAGGGTGACCTAAGTCGATATGAAGTGGACTTACATTTAACAAATTTCCACTCGGTATAACTCTGCAAATGAGGTCTCCCCCGCCCCCACTGAGAAGAAGGATGACATTTCTAAAATGGGACTGAAAACCCTATTACTAGTTTTACCCTTTCTTGGTTCCATTTTACAATATCTCAACATTAAAAATACCCACAATGATTTATGCTTCATTACATTTACCTTCTGAAGAGATTATATAAGATCTAAATGTGATTTTGCATAAATACATTTAAAATACCAGTGGCATTAACTAAATTATTCTAACTTTGAAACAAAACAATGGAAAGAAGTGCCAATCTCTGCTAAACCTTAGATACCATCTGGTCTATGGAGAGGAAAACTGAGGCCCCAGGAAGGTGAGTGAGGGACAAAAATAGGACTCGAGGCCAGGCCATCGATTATCCCATTCAGGGTTTTACCCTCTGGCCTATTCTGCTTATTCCCTTGTTTCCTACCTTATGGACAATTGGCATTCCATTTAAAGTTAACACGGTTCTGAATTCTGTTTAATATGTTTTCTGTAATGGGCTGCCTTGTTATTGAGGTTTTTGCTTTAGCTTTGGGGTCATATGGTGTGTGAGCTTTTCATTACTCTGCCTGTGTCCATGGCAGACCTTGCTAATCAATCATGATACTACTCCCCGCCATGAGCCCAGAGATAGCCCCAGATTCACATAGGACCCAGGGAGCCATTTTCAATTGACTGGAGATTGGCCCATGAGGCTAAACCAATTCACCATCTCATGGAACGGCCCTGGAGAAGGCCCTGCAACTTACCATGGGCATCTTTTGCTCCAGGCTGCCGGGGCCTTGTGTTTCCATTTTTATCACCTTGTAAACCTGCAATATCCCAAAGGTTGAGACACTTCAGAAGAAGTCAAAATGCAAGCATGGACAATTCTTGTGTGGTGGTCCTGGCTTCTGACCCCTCCTCTTCCATGTTTATGCCCAGCCTTCTTTGTTTTGTTTTTTTTTTTCAGTTAGTACCATCTTCATAAGTTTACTGTGAAGATTAGAACATTGCTTAAAGCACCCAGTGTAATGTCACTATCACAGCAAGTATGTCTTACCCCTGACTTAAATATTAGCTTTTATTATAAGTCACTCAGAATGTAAGTTTCCCTTGGTGGTAGGGACTTTAACAGTTATCTTCAACCCCGCAGCCCTAGCATCGAGGTGCTTGGTATACATTTACTGAGTAAATGAATGAGTGAGTGAATAAATGAAACTAGTGAATGAACAAATCAAATCACACCTAGACGCAAGTTCCCTGCCATCTACTTTGGAAGATTAACCATCTACTTTGGTTACGATTATCTGTTCGAAACTGACCAGCTACTCTACAACTTTATCATTTGGTTATGCCCAGCCTTCTTGCTCCCATATCCACTCACCACCTGTTAACTGCTGGAATTGCCCTGGACTTCCTGCTGAGGCAGAGGAAGGACTGGGGACCAGGGAGGGAATGGTAAGAAGGAGAACTACAGTCTGCAAGCAAAGGCAGAATTTTCTCTGCCATCAAAACTGTGTTCCTCAGTGGGTCCACCTAGAGCCTGGAGCTCCTGCCCTCCTCTGGATTTCCCTGCCATCCTGGAACACAGCTGGGGATGCCAACAGCCGTAGTGAATTCATTGCCAGATAAGAGCTAACCATGGGAAGAAATGAATGGGGGGCGAGGGAAAGGCAGGTTCTATGGAGCTGAAGCCCAGAAAAGTCAAGCAGTTATTAAATTATTCCTCAGGAAGGTTCGAGGGCAACCGAATCCTATCAGTCTAGGACTGGTAATGCAGAATGGTTGCCAATAGCTATTAGACTCATTGGAAACAGGAAAGGAGCTGCTGATTTGAAACCAGGTCAGGAAGATGTGGGTCCTTGATGGAAGCAAGAGGAGCTGAGGAGGCAGGTTGTTTTATGCCCCTGAAGCTCATCAGAGGCTGTAAATACAATGGAAGGTTGCACCTGTATAGAGGCACTGAGAAAGAGTGGTCCTTGTGTTTCTTGTACCTATGTTTTATTTCCATCTCCATTCTTTGATAGAGTAATGAGGGTTCAACATAATAGCATTTATTGTGCACTTACTATGCCTGCCTTGTGCTTTATATTGACTACCTCATTTAACTTTGCAACAGTCCTATGAAGGAACCTGAATTATTTTCTCCCTTTCATAGATGAGGAAAACTACTTGCCCAGGGTAAGAGCTGAGATCTGAGCCCAGCCAGTCGACTCCAGTGCCTGTCTACTAGACAGGGTACCTGACTGACCTTCTGAGACCCTGACCTCTGAGAGTTGCAGGACCAGGCAGCCAGGAGGGCCTGCCTTGCTCATGCAGAGACATGGAGAGAACCTGAGCCCTGGCTGCTCTGTAGACTTCATTCCTTGGCCAGCATGTCCCCAGGCTGCTTTAGCTATAAGGTAGACAGATGCCCAGAGAGGACCAAGAAGGGAGTGGAAAAGTCGTGCATCTGACCCCATGCACCTTGCACTGAAGACAGCCAATCATGGTGGCTAAGAGCATTGGTCTCAGTCAGACCTGGTTTTGAACCACTTCCTAGCTGGTCCTTTAGGCAGTTATTTCACTTCTCTGGGCCTCACTTTGCTGAATTAATAGGTGAGGCATCTATCAAAGGGTTGAAAAGTTAATGAATGTAAAATGCTTACCGCTGTGTATGCCACTTTTTAGGCAGACAATAAATGGTATCTCCAAACAAAACTCTTGTGATGGAATTCATCTTTAGCTAAGTGCTTTGTGTTACCCATACCTAATTGCACAGACTCAAAAACAGTGGGTGTTAGATACAGAGAAGAGACTCCCCAGAATGAAGCTGTCACACCTCTGCCTCTTTCCAGTGTGTAGGCCTAGGTGACTCCTCTCCTTCCCTCAAAAGATATCTAGGTGGGGCTCTGGCCCCATTAAGTGACTGTCACTCCTCCCGCCAGCCCTCCACACACAAGCAGCCCTGTACGTACGTACGTTTAGCCAAGGAGAACTTCTTGAGCAGCTGGGGCATGGCATCTCGAGGGTGGACCTCCACAGTCAGCTGTGTCCCTGCAAAAGAATGGGAGGTGACATTCTCAGCCAGATGCTGCCAGCAAAGGGTGCAATGTCCTATGACGATGTTTGAACAACAAAACACAATTGGTTTTAAGCTTTCTTCTGAATATACAATTCTTGTTTAAAGAAATGAAAAACAAAATACAAGCAGGCAGCTTCCAGACCTCGGCAAGATGAAATCAGAACACTCTAATTTGTCTTTTCCAGTGAGGACAACTATAAACTTTGGAATGTATGGAGCAACTATTTAAGGACTCTGTAGGGCAAATCATAGAAGGCAAGTAGGGGAATAAACTTAGCATTTAAAGAATCACCAACTTTGCAGTGAGTTTATCATTCCCTTCCCTCTATGGTATTACTTAGACCTGACTCCCAGGCAGCCCCAAACCCAGAAGTGCATAGTGGGTACAGGGAAACAAGCTCCAAGCTCCAAGAGAAGCTCTTTCTTCCAGCTTATGAAGTAAGAAGGGAAACCTCTAAGAGTCAGAGAGTGTGAGGCAAATCCTCTGTTGGATTACCCCCCATCCCTTTTTGCTGTTATCTCCCCACTCAGCCTCTAGGAAAGTCTGTTGGTAGTGGTGTAGCAGTGCTTTTGTTGGGCAGCCAAAACCTTCAGCACCCGAGTCTTTGAGGGAAGCTATGATTCCCTAGAGTGTGGGAGCAAATACTCACTGTTTTTTCTCTCACCCTGTTCCCCATTGATATTCCCTAGATGTAGACGGAGTGGTGAGAAGTGCCTGGCAAAGTGAGGAAATTAAAGTCCAGCTTTTGTACTGCAGAATTAAGTGGGTTGTGAAGGAGAGGGAGCTCAAGAAAGCAAATCCATACAGTTACGGATGAACTCTTGTGGTCACCTCTGAGTGGAGCATACGTGGATCTCGTCCTAAATATCATACCACAGTCTTTGAGAACTAAACTATGGGGTAGACAAATGCCTAGACTGGCCACTGGGGGTGCATGTGCTGAGCAGATCTATAGAGCATTGCAAAGGCTGCAATCCAAAATTATCCAGAGTAGGAAGAACAAGGAGTATCTCTACTTGAAAGGAAAAGATGATCAACAGATGCTAACCCCAGGATGTTATACATTTTGGAATTATCAGACAGACTTTCAAATAGCCATAGTAATCATGTTCTAACAAATAAGGGCAAATAGTCTTGAAATAAATGGAAAGATACCAAGAATCAGCAAAACATCAGAAGTTACAAAGAAGAAACAGATAAAATTTTAGAGGTAAAAAATATAACATTTTGAAAAATTATCTGGATGTGCTAAATAGTATATGGAGAGGACAGAAAAGTCAGTGAACTTGAAGAAAGATAATATGAGAAACAGCAAAAAAATGAATAAAACTTCAGAGATCTTTAGGATGATACTTTAAGGTCTAACATTCCTGTTATTGAGATCCAAGAAGGAGAGGAGAAACAGTGTGGTACAGGAAAAAAAATTGAAGAAATGATGAGAAAATAATCAGTGAAACCAAAAGCCAATTCCTAGCAAAGATCAGTAAAATTGATGAGTCTCTAACCAGATTTACCAAAAACAAAAAGAGGTAACACACAAATTGGGAATCAAAACACCAACATCAGGAGTGAAACAGGTGAGACCACTACAGATCTTGTATGTATTAAAATAATAATAAGGGAATACTACAAACAACCCAATGCACATAATTCTACAACTTAGATGAAATGGATCAATTCCTTGAAAGCTACAAACTACTAAAACTCACCCAAGTAGATAACCTTAAAATCCCTATTTTTATTTTGAAAACTAATTGTAGTTCAAAATCTTCCAGAAACAAATACCAAGTCCAGTTGGTTTCACCGACAAATTCTAACAAACATTTAAAAAGAAATAGAACCAATTTTTACATAAGATCTTTCAGAAAACAGAAAAGTGGTATATATTTCATTACACATCATATGAGGCCAACATTAATTTAATACCAAAACCAGACAAAAACAGTATAAGAAAAGAATATTACAGACAAATATTTCTTATGAACACAAAAATTCTCAAAAAATATTAAAAATTGCTGGCCAGTGGCCAGCAATAGAGTAAAAGAATACTATGGCACTGCAAGGCTGGTTCAATAGTTGAAAACCAATGAATGTAGTTCGCTATATTAGCAGGCCAAAGAAGAAAAACCACATGACCCTTTGATGCAGAAAATACATTTGACAAAATTTAACATCTATTCATGATAACACTTCTCAATAAACTAGGAATAGAAGGGAACTTCTTTAATCTGAAAAAAGGTATCTAACAGAAATCTATAGCTAACAGCGTATTAAATGGTCAAATATGGAATGCTTTCCACCATAACTGGAATAAGGCATGAATGTCCACTCTCACTGCTCCTAACAAACAGTGCACTGGAAGTTCTACCCAGTGAAATAAAACCAGAAAAAGAAATAAAAGTCCTATAGATTAGAAGGAAATAAAACTGTCATTCACAGATGACATATCTATTTGTGTAGAAAATATCAGGTCATCTTCAAAGAAAGCTCCAAAAATTCACTTCAAAGTAAGTTTAGCATGGTCACAGGATATAAGGTCAGATACAAAATCAATTCTATTTATAGTCATAAGAAATGATTGGAAATCGAATTTAAAAATCAATATTTCCCATAGCTCTAAAAATTGAAATACTTAAATATAAATCTAAAAAAAAGTGCAAGAGCTATATGTTGAAAACCACAAAGTATGATCAAACAAATTAAAGAAGACTTGAATAAGTAGGAAGACATACTGTGCTCATGAATTGAAAGACTCAATATTGTTAAGTTGTCAATTCTCCCTAAATTGACCTATAGATTTATTTATTTATTTATTTTTTTACAAATAGTTTATTGTCAAATTAGTTTCCACATAACACCCAGTGCTCATCCCCACAAGTGCCCTCCTCCATGCCCATCCCCCCCTCCCCCCCACATCCATCAGTCCTCAGTTTTTGTCAGCATTCAAGAGTCTCTCATGGTTTGCCTCTCTCCCTTTCCCCCACCATTTCCGCCCTTCTTCTCCCCCTTGTTCCTCCGTCAAGTTCCTCCTAATCCTCCTATACGTGCAAACATATGATATTTGTCCTTCTCTGCCTGACTTATTTCGCTCAGCATAACACCCTCAAGGTCCATCCATGTTGCTACACATGGCCAGATTTCATTGTTTCTCATTGCCATGTAGTATTCCATGGTATAGATAAACCACATCTTCTTGATCCATTCATCTGTTGATGGACACTTAGGCTCTTTCCATGTTTTAGCTATTGTGGAGAGTGCTGCTATGAACATTGGGGTACATGTGCTCCTATGCCTCAGCATTTCTGTATCCTTTGGGTAAATTCCTAGCATTGACCTATAGATTTAATGCAAATTCATTCAGACTCCCTGGAGGAATTTTATAGATGTTAGATATAGGCAAGATGATTCTAAAATTTAGATGGAAAGATAGAGCAACTACAGTAACCAAACCAATTTTGGAAAAAAAAAAAAAAAACAGCTGTAGGACTCTAGCTATTTGATTTTAAGATGTGCTATAAAGCTACAATCATTACACAGTGTTATATTGGCAAATGGATGGACATATAGATCAATGGAGCATAATAAATAGTTAAGAAATAGACCCATACAAACATGGCAAAGTGATTTTTTACAAAAGTGCAGACATTGCGATTGGAAAATGGGTAAAAGAACAGATATTTCACCAAAGAAGAGATTACAGAGGACATACAACCCTCTGTAATGTGTGAAAAGATGTTCTACATGTTGAGCAATTAGGAAAATTCAAATTAAAACCACAATGAAATCTCATACCTATTAGAAGAGAAGTAATAAAAACAGTGATAATACTCTATGTTGACAAGGTTGTGGAGAAATCTCTTATACACTGCTGGTGGGACTGTGAAGTAGTACAGCAACTCTGAAAACAGTCTGGCAGGTTATTATAAAACAAACATATACTGAACATCTGACCCAACAACTGCACTTTTGAGCATTTATCCCAGAGAAAGAAACACTTATGCTCGTTCATACAAAAAATCTATACACAAATGTTCATAGAAGCTCTATTCACAACCACCCTAAACTGGAAACAACCTAAATGTCCTTCAATGAGTGAATGGATAAACACCCTATGGTACATCCATATCAAGGGAATACTTCTCAACAATACAAAGACACCCTTAGGAGAGACAGAAGGGTGTAACCACAGAGATTCTGCACAAGAGAATTCTGGGGTGACAGAACTGTCCTGTATTCTGACTGTAGTTGTGGTTACATGAGCATGTGTTAGGCATGCCTTAAAACCCATGTAACTATATACCAGAAATTCAATTTTAGTAATTTAAAATAAAACAAAAATAAATCTAAGTACCTGTTGAGCAAATAAGCCCAAGCAGAATTAATACAAGAATCTGGATAATACAGAACCATATAGAATAGAAAGTGAAAGTCCAAAACGGGATTATAGTAAACATCTGCTTTCTTCTCTTGAGTCTTCACACGTCAGTGAATATGGTCCTATGTCATCATTTTAAGTGAGCTGTATAGTACTCTATTCTATACATGGTTTATAATCTATATAAGCAGTCCCTTTTGGGTGGATAGTTAACTTTTCCCAAATGTTTTGCTATTGTAATCAGTGATGTATGAACATTCTGATACACATCTCTTTATATACCTTTCAAATCAGCATCTTTGAATAAATTCTTAAATACGGATCTTTTGCTATATTTTGGCAAACTTCCGACGAATGATTTTATCAGTTGACGATCACACCAACAGCACAAGAGAATGTCCATTTTGCTCATTCCTACTGTGATTGATTGCAGGGTTCATCACAAAACTTCGTACCTCCAACGAGAGGTTTTTTGTTCTGTCCCTTGAATTTGGGCTATTCTTAGGACTCGGTTTGTCTTGTTAGCATGGGATGTTAACAGAAGTGATGCTGGGCAAGCTCTGAGCTTAGGTCTCAAGGAAATTTGCAGCCTCGGC